AAATACGACTGATGGAATGTTACTCACATCTGCAAATTATACTGTGGGATCGGCCCACCATGCTCACGGTGTGTCGATCCCAAAACGACATCACTTTGTTAATTACAAACAACGCCGGCTTCATCAATCGATCGATCACAACAAAATAAAAACAGAGTATCAATTCATCCATCTTCAACATGGGATCAAAAGAGCATCAATTCACAAATCAAAGAGAAACATGGGACTGTAGCATTGATTAGCATCTAATAGAACGGTTGACTGCTTTGTTGATGGATTAGATGATGATCAAGATGATGGAGATGAATAACCTCATGCATAACCCATAACCTTAACATCAAAGAGATGATTTATGGAGAAGCCCATATCCGTAGCATAAAAGAGATCATGGATTTATGCAGAAGCCTTGAAAGCAATTTGTTTTTGCTTTGATTTCATTTTATATATTATACGAAGTACAGTTTAGACAATTTATATATTGATTTGGCTCAAATTACATTTGAAAATACACACAGTTACATCAGAATTTGCCTAAAGTTACATTTGATAATATATGGAATTACATATTCTTGTGCCCGAGTTACATGTTTTTATGCGCGAGTTACATCTTTCTATTCGTGAGTTACATTTTCAGTTAGGCAAGTTACATTTGAATTTGTTTCAATGTAATGAACTAATTACATTTGAACTAGTTAAATTACAAGAATTGACTTATTATTTACCAATTTATTACAAATTTTTATCGAAGTACATTTTCTATAGTTGCATGTGATATTATATGAATTACATCTGATCTTCTTATACACGAGTTACATCTTCTTATGCATGAGTTACATATTTCTCTATGCGTGTTACATTTGGGCTTGCCACAACATGTTACATTTTGCAAACACGTAAGTTAGATTTTCTATCAACACAAGTTACATTTTCCATAACACAAGTTACATCACAAAATAAACATCTTTTATTAAAACAAAAAAAAAACTATTTTTAAATCAATTATTTTTGCAAAAAAAGTTTTCTTGGGGAAAAATGATTTTTTAAAAACATTTTATGGTCTTAATGTTAAAAACAAAGCATATTCACTATTTATGTAAAGTAATTAAAAAATTTGACTCGTTTTTTATGGTTTACATTGAAATCAATGTTTTAAACAAGTTACATTTTGACTTGCTAGTAGTAACATTTCTTTTTAACGTAAGTTACATTTTTTTACACATGGGTTACATCATTCTGCTACTGGGATTAGAAAAAACAAAACTAGTTACCGTACACGCGTGTACTGATCACACGTGATTTTTTTTAAATTAAAAATGGGCAATATTTCATCGTTTTGGATCGGATGCTCATCCTGCGGCGATTCCACCGTATACAACTCCCACCAAATACGACAGATGGAATGTTACTCCTTATGTCGTTCCAAAATGTAAAATACATGTGAGTTAGACATCATATTTTAAAAAATAATGAAGCTAGTTATTAGTTTACAACTGTAATGTTAGAAGAGGAAGGACAAAAGCAGGAATAGATCTACAAAAATTAAAAGGGCGAATAGTAGACTGCAAACACAAATTAACAAATACAAAGTTAATTGAGATCAAATTATGAAAGGAATCCTAGTTTTGAAACAGTAAAAAAATGCATCCAAAAATGGGTACAATAATAATACTTAATGAGTGTTGTACAATTCCCACAACGTGATATTTCTTTATTAATTGCACTTGAAAATGTTTGGGATTCAGATGTAATATAAGCTATTTGTACATGAAATTTGTATTCACGCACATTCTACATAATTGTTTGAGCACAGTCAATGTGTACACCTCCTAATTGTCCATGTACACAAACAGCTCGTGCATTATTGTCTGTGTGCATAGAAAATTACGCGCACATGTGTGCGAAATTTGTATAAATTTTGTGTATAAGAAGAATTGTTGTTCAAATTTTAGTACTTGGGCGTACACACGAGCACCACAATCGTGCTTCTCAGAGACGTTACATTTGAGCAAATCCTTTCTGTTTTTTGCAACTTCAGGGTTTCCTTTCCAGTATGCATATGGTGCTCTCTCCGCCCAACTTATCTTTCCATTCCCTTGTTCCAACTCCTTGGATAAAGAATCCCGTGGCGTAATATTGATTTCATGCCTGCAAAAACATTCCTTTCTGATAGAATTAACAATTGAAGATGAGATGGTAACACACTAAAAAAATATGGAAACATATATACCATCCCCAGAATGACCAATCAAGAAACACGATATTCCAAGTAGACTCGTTCCCGCAGTATCGGAACAATGGAGGCGGGGGATTGTGCTGTTTGGCGGGCCTGGAAATCGTCTCTTCTCGATGCGGGGCGTATCATCGGTGTGAAACATTAGATCCAAATCGGGTAGTTTTCCTGGGTACCTCCTTAGCAGCTGTAGAATGCCCCATAAGGTAAAAGTGTCTCGACTTTGAAATGACTTGCGATATGTCTCATAGTAAGCAATCACATTCACTATGACCAGCCGGAAGTTGGCGGTTCTCCCTCCCCTCGTAATCATTTCTCGGGTAATTCCAGTCTCCCGCCACTGCACTTCCACAAATCCTCATAGATCCAACGGAAGTAATCTGGGCATGATGGCGGTGGAGGCGCTGCTTGGATTTGTGTGGGCAGCAGCTTTGATGGGTAATAATTTGCAGGGCAGCTTGGCATTGCATTTTCAAGTGAGCAATTTAGTGGGATATCTGTTGTTTCAGTTTTAGGATGCGTGTTTGGTGTCTTGTGGCTTGCAAAATTCATTATTGACTGCAAATTTAAGAAACATAATTTAAAATATCTCAAACTTCGAAACAGCGTGGGATAAATATCTCAAATTGTTTATGTAATATTTATATCCAGATTTTAAAAAAAAAGTTATTTTAGCACCGTGATCATGATAAATGTAGGTAAATTATTTATTTAACACCATAAATTTAAATTTGTGAAAGAAAAATTATATGATCATGTTGCCAACATAACTTTGTATATAAAGTTCAGGGTATTTATACAGAGTATTACATATGCAAGTTTGGGGTTTTGACCTCACATCCGTTGAAAGTTTGGAATATTTGAATTATTTTTTCCTTAAATAAATCATAGAAAGACATTGCACCAAAATGTGTATAAAAAACACAGTGTTTTTCAATAATTTATTCAACTGACTTGTAGATTGAATTTTAAAACTTAATTTTTTGTGAATATAATCTACACTTTATAGACAACACCTGGAAAAATATTACTCCGTAGTTTAGTGCTGCCTACTCAGTGGCAGGGCCACTCTTGTTCCAACATGTTCACATGAACACTCATATTTTTGAAAAATATGCAAGTATGTATATGTAAAGTTAAATGAATCAAACATCAATACTGATTTTATAATGAAAGCTAGATTATTTATTAATTATATACTACATATTAGATAATACGGAGCATAAAACAAAATACAAAATAGAGTTTTATACATATCTTGTCTACATACTACCACACCAGATTTGGTGCTGCCTGCCACCATCTCCATTGCAAATGATGGAAAAGTGAGCACAAATAAATCTAAAAGAAAAAATCTCCGACCGTGTATTGCACGAGTTCCATACTAATCTTTCAAATGGTATCAATATTGTATATAAAATTGAAAAAATAAATATTTTTTTTTAAAAATTTGATTTTTTTTTTAAATTGAATAAAAAGTGAAATAATTAAAACAATTGTCAAATTATAATATATTGTCTTGTCACATGACGTCCATGTAGGGTGGGGGTGACGTTCACCTCTTTTGAGAGGTGAACAAAACTAAACTTATGGAGAGTTCAAACATATTTTGGAGAGTTCAAACATATGTTAAACGTCAACCAAAGTTAACTTTTGTAAAAACCTAGTCGAAATTGGTCAACCATGGTAGATCTTGATTGACCATAGTACAAAAATCTCACATGAGAAATTTACTAAAAAAATGACTCTAACTTTCATTTGAAGCAGACAAGATTATGTACAAACAACTCTCTTGTAGGAAACCTCAACAAACTTGATCGATTATGGTCTATCTGGGTAACAATAGCTATATATAGCCTCTTCTCTCTCATCTTTCTTGTAATTGAATGATTTTTTATTTTTCTATTACATTGATTTTTATCAATAATCTCACTTTTAATTATTTAAAATCATTTTTTTTTCAATTAAAGTCACATTTTATATCACATTTCGAATAATCTCTAAATAAATAACTTCTACAATGTTGAGTTAAATAATGCAAACACTCCTTAAGAACATCACTACAATTAAGACTAGCTAACAGTTTCCCTCCAACTAAATACATGATTAACCCACTTAATACTATCATATATTTTTTTATTATAAAAGTCAATAGAAGCTATTTTTTATTAACTTTAACTTTAATAGGGGATGATGATAGGGGGATGATGAACTTCTATGCCAATTACGTTTGCCGTGATGAAATTAGCTTTGGCCTACTATACCGTTACATAACCAGTAGACCGACTCTATTAAATACGAAGTACTGTACATAATTAACCCACTTAATGTATTTTTTTGCTTAGTCAATAGAAGCTAATTTTTTATTAACTTTAACTTTAAGGGAAATAATGAATTTCTATGCAAATGACGTTTGCCGTGATGAAATTAAGCTTTGGCCTACCATTACAAAATCAGTTGATTTTAATAGTTTGATGACTACATCAGATCGATAAACACCAAAGCATACCCCTAGGTCATAAATAAAATATTAATACTAATAATTATCAATTTTCTTTATATATACATACGCTCTAAATTTGACGACACTAAAGTCGTTGTGTGCTTCAAACTAAATTCAATACTAGTACTAATATGTAGTATAGTGAAGTAGAGTTCGTATCCACAAGGAAATGAATACTTTTCTTTTATGAAACTAGAAATTAAAGAGAAAATTCCCAATATGGGAGTAGAACATAGATACTATGCCAAAATAGGAGTCGTACTTCGTCAATCATGTTTGACACGGAATTTCTATTCAAGTGATAATAATACCCTTAATGAAAAGAAGCTGAAGACTTCCGTTTAATATAATACATATTAGATAATACTGGAGCATAAAACAAAATACAAAATAGAGTTTTATATAGATCTTGTCTACATACGCTCTAAATTTGACGCTGCCAGCCACCATCTCCTGTGCCGCCGCCGCCATCGGCACTGCCGCCGCCGTCGGAACTGTCGCCGCCGTCGGCACTACCGCCGCCTTCAGCACTGCCGTCGCTGCCGGCTCTGCCGCCACTGACGTCACCAATGTGCCGCTGCTCTCAAGAGTCTTCATTTGCCACTTCCATATTTTCTAGCGCCGCCGCCCTCAGGTGAGCCCTCCGCTTGGACTGCCGCCATCTCCTCCACCACCACCACTAATTCTTCTAGTGCTTCTACTTCCATATTGTGCAAGTTAGTTGCCTGCAAATAGATTAAATCATAATCTTCATTAAAATATTGAAATGTTATTTATTGTCATGTTAACATCACAATGCCATTTTATAAAAATACATGACATTGATAGTTGTAGAACATGGCATTATTTGCTAAAATATCGAAGTTATATTTTCATCTTGGGAAAACTGTCAAATAAGTCCTCGTACTATATCCAAAAAGTCAATTAAGTCCTCGTACTATCAAATCATTCAATTAAGTCCTCAAACTATATAAAAACGTCCAATTCTTCTTGGTAGCCGGTTGATTACCAGTTATTCCGGTTGCAGCTCACTTGGCTTGCCATGTGGTATTAACCTTGATGCCACGTCAATTTTTATTTCTCTTCTCTTTCCTCCTTTCTTCGTCTTCATCTAGATGCACCGACCCTTCTTCAGTTCTTCCCCCCACATCTCTACACTTCACCTTGTTTCATGCTTAGTTTTTCTTTCCAATTTCTCTCAATACGAGATACACATTCACCATTAATTTCATTAAGAAAAATATAGCAATAATGTAGGCCATATAGTTTAGAAACTCAATCCCTAAATCATTTGCAAAAATATATCAACCCAATTGGATTTCGTGTGCCGTCGGCCCGGTAGGTGCTTGTGAATGAGTTGTTTGCCCATAAGTTGTCAATCTTACTCGACGTCGCTGACTCGCTGGTGGTGGACACCGTGACTGTGCACAGATGAGCGCACTGTGCACATCTATATAGTCTGATGTGGTCGCCGATTAAATTTGGCTTCCTGATTTGGATCTGGCCGCCACTTGATGATTCATACGGTGTTTCCTGCAAACTCCCATGCTCTGTGTTGCAGAAATCCCACCATCGCCGTGATTATAGCCCAATCTTCGTTGCAGGTCTGCATCCATATTGACACAGGTCACTGAAGTCCCACCATCGCCGGAGTTGTTGCACTTCAAGGCCGGCGTAGGGTGTGCTGCTGGCCAGCGGTTGAACACAGAGGACATGATGCCAGTGGTGAAGCTGCTAAGGCCTAGGGTCATAAACGATGCTACCGTACAAGAGAAAAAGGAAAGAAAAAACAAAAGAGAAATAGAAAAAGAAAACAACTGCCACATCAGCTGCCATGTGGACAGCCAAATCAGCTGCTACCAGTATAATCGATACTCAACCAGCTAAAAAGAAGAATTCGACGTTTTTATATAGTTGGAGGACTTAATTGAATGTTTTCATAGTATAAATACTTAATTGACTTTTTGAATATAGTACGAGAACTTATTTGATAGTTTTCCCTTTTATAAAGTTAGTGCCAACTTCATAAATGCAAAATGACATTTTTTGCCAAACATTTTGAAAACATGACATTTTTAAAATAATTTTGCCATCCTTTTATATGCAAAATGACATTTTTTTGCCTAACATTTTGAAAACAAGACATTTTTAAAATAATTTTGCCATCTTTTTTATGCAAAATGACATTTTTTGCCAAACATTTTGAAGACATGGCATTTCTAAAATAATTTTGCCATCTTTTTTTTAATGTGTAATTTTGCCATCTTAATACATTCAATATCATAAAAATGACATTGCTCTCAAAAAATGTTTTCAAAAAATAAACATTAGTTATAGAATTTTCAGATCCAAAACCCTTAAATTTAAAATTTTAAAATAAAAAAAATCAAAATCAATAAATACAAATCAAATTCAGTTTTACCCAATCACCGGATGTTTGTATTTTAATAATAAAAAAGTCAGATCTGAAATAACATTTGTCAAATTTAGAACCTCAAAATAAGAAAAATTAAAAAATCAATAGAAGAAGAAATGAGAGGTTGAAGGAGAAGAAGAAGAAGGGAGAGAATGAGAAGGCCGAGAAGAAAAAGACATACCTTTAACTGGAATTCGGCCGCATGAGATATATTTAAGAGATGAATTGACCGGATATGGAGTTTAATTTTCCGTTTACACCTAAAATTTACCACGAACAGTGGATTGTTTAAATCTGAATAAGAAGAGGAACGGTGAAATTGAATAAGTTGAAGAGGAAAGAATACATATATACAATTTAAGAAGGAAGAAGGGAAAAAATGGAGTGGGATACATCTGGAAGATGAGTGACTGATGAAAGAAATAAAAGATAAAGATGGAAGAGGAAGATGTGAGTGACATATGAACGAAAAAAAAGAGATAAAGATGGAAGAGAAAGCAGAAGGTGGGAAGAGATTAGACAGGTGATGGGTGAGGAGAAAAGGTGTGAGAAGAAAGAGAATAAACATGGATGGATGAGATGCAACGGAACGAAAAAATAGGATCGAATATAAAGTAAGGGCATTTAAGGAAAAGAGAAAAAATAGTCGGAACGGGTGGGCATACAAGAACTCATATTTAGGGAAATAAACTTAACCGCTCCTATTATTGCACATCCTATATGTTTAACTCCTATTAAGGATAATTTCTTGAAATTAAAAGGGGATTTTTGGGATTGTTTGATTTAATTAATTAAACATAAGATGAATGACTTATATGATTTTAATTAATGAGATAAAAGACTTGGCTTTGCTACTTTCCACTTGTTGACATGTTTGTTGATCCCGAGTATATCTAAAACTTATCCCCTCTCGAATACTCAATCGAAGAGTATCTCCAATTAATCAAAATAATGATTGTTCATTAGTAACCCTTATTATTAGCCAAGTATGCAACACTGTCATATACCATTCATTTTTTTTAACCCAGTGGCAAACCATCGAATGATGGGGTAAGAGCTGGGGAACATCTTACCAATTTATTAGGAAGAAAAGAGTACAATCATAACGGTAGGGGGACTAGGCCAACAACCTACCAAGGAGACAAAAGGAAAATTAAACGACATAAGGAAAGGCTATAGCATCAAATTTGAGAATATTAAGGAATCGTGAGGATTTGACATCAACCCCAAGGCTGATTTCTTTTGCCGCACAGTTGGTCTTGTCATTGATATGATTCATGATGATCCGGTTTTGATCCAAAATCCTACGAATGCAAGTAATGCTGAAAATTTGATCCTAGTGATTTATGCTATGCATATTGATGGTTTGAATAACTTCCTGATCTGAGATCTCCAATTGGTTGAAATGAATGCCATTAACCCTGCAATGATGCAAATAGTAAAGGATTATTTCAATGAAAGCTTTGATATAGGATTTGGAAAAAAGGCAGTGACGATGATGTGTGATCATGTCGCCCGTATGATTCCGAACAATGAAGCCAAAATGGTGACAAAGGCCTCTTTGAGAGTGGCCAATATTAAGGGTGAAATTATTAGGAGGGGGAGGAGTCCAGCTAATGGTTTGAGGTGTGAGGTAGGTTTTTTTTTTGGACATTTGGTGATATAGAGGTAACTAATATCCTTACGGATATTGTAAATGGCCTCCGAGTAGTTTGGAGCAATATCCTCAAAAAAGGTGGCATTTCTCAATTTCCAAAGATTCAAAAGAATCGTGATGTAGCAAAGGAAGGAGTTGTGGTTAGTCCAATTAAGAATATTTGCCTTTAGGTTACCGTCCAACCTATGACTTGGAATCTCAAAATGCCGCCAAATGGGCATATGAGTAGGGCAACACAGGAAAAAGTGTTCCAAGGAGTCATAGTGGTTGCAATGAGGGCTTAAAAGGACCATGAAAACCCATTTTTTGGAGCGAAACTCCATTCACGACCAAGTTGTTAAGAATACGCCAAAGGAAAAAGGAAATTTTTTTTGGAATGGGCTTTTCCCAAAGAAATCCCAGTTTTTTGTTTTGGATTTTCCTACTCCGAATCACATCATAGGCCGTCTTGAAGGTGAACACACCATTAGGTGTGCGATTCCAGTAAACAGTGTCGGGAGCGTCCACAAAGGTGGGGGGGCAGTTGGTCAAGGCTTGAATGATGTCAAGAGGGAGATCCCCAACATGAATATGGATATCAGAATAGGCCTCTCTGATGCTGAGAACGTGAATATTCTCATTAGAGAACCTGTTTAGCGGCCCGAAGGGGCTCCAATTGGAGTCCCAAAAGGAGTGAGTACCATTATGCACAGAGATACTAGTGTTAGCACTATAAATGTTCTTTACAGACAACATAGAAGGCCAAAAAACAGAGCGATTGCAAGAACGAAAGGAATTAAATATAGTGGCCCATATGCTTTGTCCTTTATCTTTTTTCCACCAAAGCTTTAGGGAAAAAGTGTCTTGCACATCCTGTAACCTGAGAAATCCCAAACCATTCTCGTTAAGTGGATAAGAACATTTGGACCATGACCTCCAACTAAAATTTTTAGAAGGGCTGCCATCCTTTTGCCAAAGGAATTTAATACAAAGTTTCTCAATGTCTTTAAGCAGCCCTTTGGGAACTTTAGAAGAGGCCATGGAATATAAAGGAAAAGTGGACAAAACATGTTTGATCAGAATGATTTTACCATTCATTTAATTTCTTAACTCCTTGATTAAATCAATAGAGATTGATAATCTCAATACAACGATTTCGGTTTAACCAATACAATTAATCCCTCTTAAGATTATTAACCACGACCCTGCATTAATAACCCGAAATTACTTACTTGCGAAACCATCAACAATTGACCATCAGTTCATTGATCGTTTCTTGTAGTTAAGATGTTAAATAATTGTCATTTAGCAACACTCACCAACATTAATATAGAGATAGAATAAGTGAAGAATTATTTTTAGCTCCCTTGCACATTCTTTGATCTTGTAAATATCTTCCATTATCTTTTGTTGTAGACTAATTTATTCAAGCTCAAGATCTTCTAATACTAATAAATTACAATAAACTAGAAACATAAAAGGTTGCACCGTAAGTGTGCAATTTCCGCAGCAACACACCGTAAAAACTAATTAAAAGTAAAGACTTAAGCATTCCAAAACCAATCTAATCAACCCCCCACACTTAGTCTTTTACTCGTCCTCGAGTAAAATCTACAGAATGTTTCACAATCCACAAAGTTTGAATAAAATACAAGGAAGGGATATATTTTTTTCTTTGCCAATTCGAATTTATTCTCAATCAGAAAGTATTGCATCTCCCTCCAACTGCTTGCTATGGTGAAAATGAACTCCTGCAAAAATAATTCTTCCTCTGATTTATCACATTTCATTTTGTCTAGAGCCTTTTCAGGGTTTCATACTAGCCTCTTTTTTTTACACACTCATTTTTTTTCTATTGTTGCTTAGGTTTCCCGTTCGAGTTTTCAACCTAACTAGAATTTATTCTTTTTATTTTTTTCTTCTTCTTTTTCTACAATTTTTTTGTATAATTTTTGTTTTATCTGAAAGCACAATGTAGAAGAAATACGATATGTAAATTATGAAGATCCCCCGTTAAACCAAACATTGTTCCTAGTGCTTGTTGTCGCTATTGCTTGGATGTTGGATATTTTTCGAGATTTTTTTGGTTGGAAGTGGATTTTCATATTTGGTGGGGTTGGGGTTAGGGTTTTGTGATTTGGGGATTTTGGTGGGATTTATGGGTGTGGGTATGCAGAGGGGGTTGAGGAGATGAATATTATGGTGTTATCTGATGAATTTGGGAGAGAAATGGGGTAGATTCGAGCTTTGGAAAGTTTGGGTATGGAGGTTTGTGGGTTTTGAGTCTGCTAAGGAAGATGGAATGTGAAAAAGGGGACTGATGTGTGTTTTCTCGCACTTAAAATAGATCGTAATATAGTGGTGTAAGTACGAGTATCGTCTCCACAGGGACAGACAAAAGGGAATCAAGAACTAATTAAATTCAACGATTAAAAGAAATAAATAAAATAAATGCGTCGTGCGAGATATGATTGGTATGAAAAATTAAAATGCAACTAAATGATTAAAATAAATGGGTTCTCTCTAATTAATGACGAAGGGAACAGGGAATGATTCTGGGGTAACCAGATTTCTGGCAGATCAGGCCTAATTACATGAAATTAATTCAATTGAGCCTAGCTAATCATTACTAAGTTCGTACCGCTCTCGCGGCGTAGAGTACAATAATTTAGGGGACCAGGCTGATCTCTCATGCGACAGGATCCTAAATTATTGCCAAGACGAGCGAGCTTACAGCCCCTTAATCGCTACTAATCTCTTAGCGAACGATTAAGTGTGTGTGAAGGTGTCCTAGAATAAACTAGATCTCTCTTAATTTATTCTACAAGCAACTGTAATTCTAGCGCGCGTTCTAGGTTACAAAAGATATCAGTTAAATTATTCAAACACAAATTAAACGGTATTCATGCAATTAATCCATCAAGAAACTAGCCATATATCATGATCAACCCCTTCATCAATCTCAATCCCTAATTAAACTACTCACAATTCATAATTGAAGAATCAATAGAATTAGGAAGAATAGAATTAATTGTCATTAATTAAAAAGGTGGAACTTACAAAGAATACCAAAAGATTGATGAACAAGGCTGAAAAGCCCTCTAAATTTCGTGCTAGGCACTCTCTCTAAGCTCCCCCTTGAAATCGGGGGTTTACAGGTTGTTTAAATAGAAAAATCGGGTGAAATTTGAGCTGAATTAGGAATTTCGGAGCCAGGCACGATCGTGCCTTCGATCTTGCCTACGGAGCAAAAACGCGCATTTTGGGCAAGCACGATCGTGCCTCCCTCCAGGCACGATCGTGCCTAGCTGGCAGTAACTCCACGATGCTTTCTCTTCATGCACGATCGTGCCTGACTTTGAGAGAACTATATTGCCTACTTAACTTCCGAATTTGGCAATGTTTCCTTCATGAAAGTTGTAGATAATGAAGTCCTCTATCCACCCCAAGTTGCCGAATGTGATTTGAATCATCCAATCAAGAGATATGATCAAAACAGTGGAAGGTGTCTTTCTGAAATCGCAGCAGAGATCATCTGGCTTCATCGTCTGTTTTCACCTTCTTCCTCTCAGATTCTCGCCAAGGATTTGTAGCCCTTGAAGTTATCTTTCATATGGAACTTGAATCGTGTACATTGGATGTTTCTACAAAGAGATATGCTTGAACGATTGACAGAAGGTCATCCTGATCGTCGTTTTCAAGCTTCATTCATCTTCTTTTGACCCCGTAGCCAATCCTAGAGCTCTTTTTCCTTCAAATCTTCATCGTGAATCTTCCGGTGACCTCCAAAGCTATCAAATCATTCTCAAATGCTTCTCAAATCATCCCGATTGTTCCTCAAGTGCCGGTACCGGGCTCAAATTCCCTGATTTTG